ATCGTATATCTCATACAGCTCATCGTTCCGTCGAATGCGATATTCGCCATAGCCAACCCGCAAAGGACCATAAATATTCCGCAGAACCTTTCTCTCGGAAGCTCGTATCGTCGACTCAACAGATGTTGTCATCGTCCATAGTTCTGCACCATATAGAAGGACGGGAATAATTAGTGACTTATAGAGTTTTTGTTTTTTTTTGTTTTTTTGTTTGTCGAGAGAGGACTTTACTTCTCAATTGCTTAATTAGTCCGAAGTAGCGTTGGAATTCGATGCTGACATTGTTTTTGCTGTTAACACTGGTTCCAACAGACAGACGAAATTATCCACACCTTCTAAGTTATCAGGGGTGTTGTGAAATCTGAGAGGTTTCGGAGTCAGAATTGAAACCGATCAAAAAAAGTAGTAAGTGTCATTAATCAAGATATTATTGGTTTGATATTCGAAACAGAATTTGTATCGGTTTTTTGTGTCACGTAAACCAATTTTATACATTTTGCTATCAGAAACAAAGCAAGAAGATAGTCGCTCACAGATTTGAAATGTAATTTAAGAAATCAAGTTATTTTATTATGTCGAACTAATAATATTAAAATATCAGTATAAAACACGAAATGTCTTAGTTATTCAGTTTTTGGAAATTCATAATTTAAGGGTATTAGATTTACAAGACGTAATAAACGTAATTTAACACCCAAATGCGTCTTTATTAAGTCGATAAATGTCATCTCTTAAAATCTTCCTTTAATTCGGAACTTATTAAAAACTTTAATAGGACTGGTTCCAAATGTATTCATTTGCAAGTTTCGTCACATTAGTAAAGAGCTGGTTCGAATATGATTTTGTATATGTTCGAAAAGACGAAAATCCAATCAGATTCTGTGACAACTTTTAAAATCATAATTGCTTTGCAATCTGAGAGCTAAGCAATGCGGTCTTGAATCCCACAACACTCCTGTATGACTGTATACAGTGACGTGGGTCGCGGGTCTGACTGTTTCCTTGATGACATGAGATATTTCGTCTTCCACTTGTTCACTACCAGACCCACTTTCTTCGCTTCCTTATATAGTCTGTAGAAGACAGAACTAACATCCCGGATGTTTAGGTCAATGATATCAATATCATCGGTCTACTTCAGTAGCTGTAAACTCAWATAGAAGATGGCACCTTCTCTATTTAGTTCTGCAGTTCGAAAGTTTTCTCTTTTGTGCTGCAAAAGCGGCATTGAAACGACAAATCGGTGTTGCAGAACATATCTGGTCAGTTGTTGATTTTAATTTTTCACACAATACGCTCGAACGTTATATGCGATGCTGAGGGGGCCTATCTGACCATAGTTGGCGCAAATTGTGGGGTCTACCTTTTAGTGCATTGGACAGAGCACATTTAATCATCGGCCCCCGTCGCTTTGTTGTTCGGATAATTGCTTTTCGAACTTCTTCATTGTGGGGCAATGGAACGTTCACTCCATCTTCATCGATTGGGGTGTCGCGTTCCCCATCTCCTGGTGATATGCTTTCCCTGCAATTCAACCGGATGGAGCTGTGTTCTCTCGGAGCTGTGTATGCTCCGTTTATCAATAACTAGGGCACCTTTGGCGGTTCTACAAGAGCATGCTCCGGTCTAGAAAACTTCTGTTAGTCACTGCATCGTTTCGCAGAATTTTCGAGCATGATGACCGATAGGGGTACATCCTGTCAAGGTCTTCATCCTCAGGCATTCGGACCTCTTTCTTTTTTATCTGAAAATTCGTCTCGTTTCCTTCTTCAACTCTCGGTATACATCCCATCGCGCACATATTGGTGCGTCGTTTGCTGCACAGAGCAAATGTGTGGCTGCGAATCTTGGCTCCAACAATATAGTGATCTGAGTCGATGTTAAGACGATTTTGACATGATGACGGGGACAAATCTTATAAGTAGGCGCAAATCAGCGATATGTTGAAGAGTTGTGGCTTTGATGCGGATTGTGGCTAGAAATATGGACCGATGATTCTAATGGTCCACAAACCCCACCAAACCGTTGTTTTTTCTAGATCAAAAGGCAGTTCTTAAATCTCTTCGAGTTGTTCATCGTTTAAAATGCGGTCAATAGAGCAAAACTATGTCGCTCGGGAAGGTCGAGCGGCTTCAGTTCTTACAGAACCAGTATTTTGTACGATCCATACGTCAGTCCATGGTCTTCGTGTACATTCTCAGCTACGGCTGAAAATTATGTTGATCATAAGTTGAGCGTAGCGAGTGGAACACATTCTTTACAGAACGTGACTTTTCGTAATAAAGTTGAACCGTTTGTAAATGTTATTCAGGCGTAAGTCTTTTTATGATGAAATGCCAAACAATACTGAACGAAATTAACATGACGGCTTATAACAACTCACTCGTGATCTATCAAAAAAATGCTGTTGAAAAAAGGGACTCTACTTGGATCACCCGATGTAACCAACCGTTAGGTGAACAAAACTATTATAATCTGTAGCAACATGCTATAAAAAGGAAGTGTACCACGATGAGAAAATAATATTAAGATTCTGTTCATAATTTTAAAATGCTTTTCAAAATCTATGTGGTATTTCTCAAAATATACAAAACTGTCAATTTATATGAATAAGTGGATTTTCTTCGCACCCAAATCGACAGACACTACTCAGATGAAAATGAGTCTTTTTGGAGAAGATGATTGGCTTAAAGAATGCCAAAATCTGCAAATCCTCGCCCTTATGTTGGTCTAATGGCTTGAGGGAAGATGGATTCATGTGTAGAAGTTCACGCAAATGAGGAAAGTTCTCTGATCGCCATTCACTTGGGAGTGGCCAGAAATGACTCAAGCAGCTCACGACTTCCGGTGTTTGACATAGGATTGTGTGTATAGTTTGGGACCCGCCACGTAAAAAACACTCACAATGAAAAGGAACAATCAGCCTCGGATGAGAGACGCCCCTTTTGATTACGACCATGACAAACGAAATTAGGACTACGAATTAAAGGCATGCACCTGGAATGTCCGGTCCCTTAATTGTCCTCGCGAAAATAAAGGCTGACATCACCGCCGTCTAAGAAATGCGATGGACGTTACAAGGACTGAGACGAGTATATCCCTATGGCATTTACTACAGTGATCATATAAAGAAGCGCAAATTTGGTTTCGGATTCATGGTGGAAGAGAGACTCCGTCGCCGAATTCTGCCATTCACCCCCGTGAATGAATATCTAGCCACACGTACCGACAGATGAGTGCATGGAGCGCACTTTTGAGAGCTGCCCCCGGCACTCTCGTAGTGGCACTACGGTCGGTAAATTCAGCCTCCACGACGAAAGATACCCAAATGGGTTGAGGCTGATCGACTTCGCTGGGGCCCGAAGTATGATTATCTGTAGCACTAGATACCACCATAAGAAAATACATCAAGCTACCTGGTTGTCTCCGGATCGAAAAACTACCAACCAGATCGATCATGTCGTAATAGACGGAAGATACGTCTCCAGTGTTTTAGATTTGCGTGCGCTCCCAGGTCCTAACATCGACTTGAACCACTATCTTGTTGCAGCCAAGATTCGCACCCGCCTCTGTGCATCAAAAAGTGATCGCCAAATCGCAAACGCAAGGAAGGCTCGACGTCGAGAAGSTGCAATCACAACAGACAGCCGAACGATTTTCGACTCGGCTTGCACTCCTGCTCTCTGAGAGCACTCTTCAAAAACTCGGTATAAGGGAACTGTGGGACCTCTCTGAGCCGTTCGATACCAAACGAGGTTTCAGACAAGGTGATTCCCTATCGTGCGACTTCTTCAACCTGCTTCTGGAGAAAATAGTTCGAGCTGCAGAACTAAATACAGAAGGTACCATCTTCTATAAGAGTGTACAGTTGCTGGTGTATGCCGATGATATTGAGATATATGACAACATTGACATAGTTTAGCGAATTAAAAAACAGCGGCTAGGTTGGCTAGGTCATGTTGTCCAAATGGATGAAAACACTCCCGCTCTGAAAGTATTCGACGCTGTACTCGCCGGGGGAAGCAGAGGAAGACCTCCACTCCGTTGGAAGGACCAGGTGGATAAGGACCTGGCTACGCTTGGAATATCAAATGGGCGTCACGTAGCGAAAAGAAGAAACGACTGACGCGCTGTGTGGAAATTGTGGAAATTTTCGATGTATTTTTTTCATAATTCCATATTTTAGATATTCAAAAATATCTTCCTCAAAGGATTTTTCAAAATTAATATTATTTATAAAGTTACAACCATGTTAGTGTCTTGTCACATGAAGCAAACCAAAATTTATTGAAAATTGTAATATTTTTAAAAAATTCGGCAATATTAAAAATTTTGTCAAAAATTTAATTTTTTTTTTTTGTTTTTTTTTTTTTTGAGTTTTTTCACTAATCAAGAATTCATCATTGTATTATTTTCCAGATGGATACAAGGAACAAGGATACTGTCCTTTTCCCTTTTACTTCACGGACACATAACTCAATGAAAATAACAAAATTAAATTGATTTTCTGTACTCTTCGAATATAAATAAACAAATGATAAAAAATGAATGTATACAAAAAGTATTAAATGCATTTTATTATCAATTACAAACAAGTTTTGGACCTCTAGACTAAAATTCCCCCTAAAACTTTTGTAAATTTCTAACATTTTGTATGGTATTGCAAAAATAGTGCGGGTATACCCACCGTCATTTCCATTTCTTTACATTTCATTTTACGATTTAAGAAACATTTTGAGCAATACTTTAAATTCTAAATTGTCCTTGTTGTCAAGAATCCGAGTTTCTTCTGATAATATTATTATAGCTGTAGATTTTATTTAACAACATTTTAAATCAAATTGAATACCAAAGTTATTTCTTTTTAAACCTAAATTTCCATGTTTTCTTTAATGTTGAAGACTGAACGATTTATTTTCTCAATTGTATTTTAAATACAGCAAAGGATATCTTCGTAAACCGCTGAATATTAGCAATGGTTTTGAAAGTCAAAAACACGGTTTAATTTTGATGAAATTTTATGAAACAATTTTATTTGATATTAATAATTTTTCATTTTACATATGTTGAAATGATAATAGCATATCAATGTAAAATATAATTAAATGAAAATCTCTTTAAAAAGATACATATATCATTTTTTTCTTAAACAATAAAATAAGGATTTAAAAACGAAAATAGAATTCCACCGAATATTCCTGTAATTAGCATTGCAGCGGCAAACATTCCAGCTTTAACTTGATATTTCGCTTCAACTGATTGTGGGGCATACATCATTGCCAAAGAGCTAAAAAATAAAGTGATTAATACGAAATAAAAATTACATAGCGGTAATAATAAATGTAGGACTTTTTTTTTTAAGAAACTAAAAAAATTGGTTTATATTGCAAATAATCTAACAACTCTATAAGCAAGTAACGGAATTCTGTTATAACCGTGACAGACAAGTAGTAACAATACCATAAGGAATTCATGGTATAATAGTATTCTGTTTACTACGTTAATGACACACATGGCAATGTAATAAATTCCAATATTAGCTTTGTTTCATAGCCATTAAAGATCTCCAAAAAATTAAAAAAAAATATATATATAGTTGTGTGTTGTGAACGAAATAAGTACAATTATTTCAAATACTGTAAAGTTAATCTATTTTCATCTCAAAGAAGCGATTTGGCCACAATGAAACATCATAGTATGTTACCAGCAAAATACTACATTGCTCATATGGTATTTTCCTAGTATTTGGTGACACACAGAAGGTATTTGTACCATATACAAGGAGCGTTCCAAAGTAAACAGGTCTTAAAAAAAACAGAACAAATGGTTTTTTCGGCAAAATGAATTTATTTTATTCAAAATATTCTCCTTTTGCTTCAAAACAGCTTTTTGCACGGTCCAAAAGCATGTCGAACAAGTGTTTTAGCTCGTTGGCTGGTTGACCGCCAATATGCCGGTGCGAGCCTCTACGTCTGCCTTTCTGAAAAGACAGAAGTCGCACGGTGCCATATCAGGTGAATACGGAAAGTGGTTAATGGTTAAAATGTGACTCTAGGTCAAATAATCGTCCTTCGAATGTTGGACTCTGAGCAATTTTTGGTTGTCAGTCAAATTGTGCGGAACAAACCGTGCGCACACCTCTCGTAAGCACAAATATTCGGTCAAAATACGATAAATTGATGTTTTGGAGATGTTCAATTCCATTTGAATGGGTTTCAATTATGATTTCGGCTGATTTTTGATGAATTCACGTACAGTTATCATGGAATTTCCAGTGATCTAGCATTTTGATTGGCCCACATGTTGATCAACATTCATGTCCTCACGACCACTTTGAAAACGTTGAAACCACTGGTGCAATCTGCTACAGAGCAGGCAATCATCGCCATGAACTTGTTTCATCAATTGAAATGTTTCGGTAAAAGTTTTACCAATATTAAAACAAAACTTAAACTTACCCTTTGTTGGAAGCTCATTGACTGATAACACAAACGTACTGACACTACTGACACTTATAACTTGACTTCCAATCGATGTAATGTCATGAAACTCTCACTGGACAATCGATAGAAATAGCAGATTCTAACACACTACTTTCGAGCGTACCTTGTATGGTATTGTTACTACATGTCTGTCACGGGTACTACGAAGAAAGTAATTTGATTGCAACTCACTGTAACATTATAACTTTAAAATTAAACTATGACTATTTGATTATTGAATAATGGTAATTTTTGCTGACGTGTCAAAGTTCAACCTTTTTTGAATTTTAAAAAATTATAATATACATATTATATGTTTTTGAAATATAGTTTCACTCTACCCATATACTTAAATACACTTAATTTATATTAAGCAGCTGCACTATTAA